ACATGTAGAAGTATTTGCACTGACCTACTGTGCTGTCTAGAAGATAGATATTGATCCTGAGGCAGCCTCCATGCAGTTAGTAGAAAGAGACAGGCAAGTCCCCCAGAGGAGTTTCTGTTGTCAGATAAAGGTGATGAATCACCACCTCTTTCTTTTAATGACTGTGATGGAATCAATAAACCTCCTAATGCTGACTGAAAGAGACTTTAGACTTATGCCTGACATCACTCTGTTTAAGGTGGGTGAGATTATTTCCATTTTCTGTTCTAAGAAGCAAGAGGTAAATTTGGGTATTTGCAACAGTTACAGGCTTTAGAACTAGGCAAGGGAGAGGGCATGTACCAGACGCTGGAGCTGTATGGCCTCAGATTGCAGTATTTGGAACATGGCAAGAACATAGGCATGAATGAGAAAACACTGGCTAAGAAATAATATATTTCTGATTTCCAAGCCTTTCTAGTAGCAGATATCTCATATTAATTGTGTAATTTGAAATTGTTAAGTAACCTATGACAGCTCAGTATAAAAAAATGTCATATGTCTGTATCTGCATAATCATCACGTTTTCTTGAGAATAAAAGCTCCTTTCTTGTTCTACTTAGCAGAATTAAAGAATTCCAACAACATTTTCATTATAGAAAATAACTTGATATGTAACTGTATTTTCATTCAGTCTTTATTTAAAAGTTTTATTTTTTTGATCTTCAAAAAGTGCTGAAGTCAAGTTGCTAGCTTAAATCATGGTGATGATTTTGTTAATATCTAGACAAAAGCTTAGAATTACCCTTATGACATTAATTCTCAATTTAGATTTACCTCAGCCACTGAAAATGCCCAAAGCACTTGCTCTTAGGGTGATTGTGACCTCCTGTGGTTATAACAGGGGATAACAGTTGTTTACTTACACCAACAGTCAAAAAATTCCGTACATAGATTCAGATTTTCTCTTTGCTCCATTTCTTAAAGGTGCTCATCTGCAGCCTTCCCCTCCCCGTCACACCTTTGTTTATTAAGTGCTCTATAAACATCTATATATGAAAAGGGCTTTCTGCATATTTGGGGTTTTTAGTAATTCCATTTTTTAAAGTAGTACTTTCCCTTTTTTTTTTTGTAAGTCCCAGTACAGTAGCAGGAAGCAGATTATAAATCAAATTGATATTGCTGATTATGTTACGTCACAAAACGATCTGTAAGATATATAGAATTTGAAAAGAGTTGGTGTTTAATTATGTTGCAGACACTAGAAAAGAAAATAACAGAGTCGAAACTTCAAGTTGGTGAATACAAGCACCAGATGTTAACCTTAAGGGAAAGAAGTGAGCAAAAGAAGACTGCCCTGAAAAAAGCAATCAGGTCCCAGAAAAAAAGAGCTGAAGGCTTTGAAGCAGCTTTGGAAAGTTTAACCTCCAGAATAAGAGAACGTGTGAGTGACGACACAATGAACAGTATGGAGCATTTGGGAGACTGTCACCTGTGGAAAATAGGAAAAGTTGGTTGGGCATACTGTCTTTTTATCTCTTTCATTTGTTTCCTCCTTCATTTAGGAAAAGGTTGCTCTAAGAGTCCTTCAAACTGTTTCTACATTCACTGCCTTTGTTTTGCTAAAATTCAGTGAATATCTTAAGCCCTGAGGTTGTACACCTCAAAACGTGATAAGAGGACTCTGGTCAGCTTTCAGTTACACCTCTACTGACCTTCCTGTTAGACTGCTATGGATATACACTGGCTAACTCAGGAGTACAGTATACTAGCTGAGAATCCATGCTTGGGGTTTGAAGTCTTTGTTTTCTTGATTATATAACATCTCATGTGGATACTTATCTTTCTGCTTCTAAGCTACTTGTTCTGAAACTTTTCAAAATCCAAGTACAAAACTTCCTTAATCCAAATTGTTTCTTAGATTCTTGCCCTGCATATCCCTACAGTGTGTAATTGTGGAAAAAGGCCAGGTGGATCAGAACTGTGCTGAGCTCTTCATTGCCTTATTTAGATTTCCTAGTTAAAGTATGTTTTCATACTCTTAGATGTATTGCCATCATTTTGGATATGTCGGTATTAAAGATGTATATTTCCAGTTAGCATTCCAGGAGATAGTTAATAATGTGGGTTTTTTTGTTTTCTTTGGTCTTTGTGGGAAGACAGTAGTGGATCTTTAAGTACACTGAGAAGTACAGAGGGATGGCAACTAACTCTTGGAACTTCTGATGTTTTGTAGTCACGCTCTTGTTTTCTTCCCTCATTGAAGACCTGGTATACTTTCAAGATAGCATCTTTTGGCTGAAGGACTTTACTTAGTTTTGCATTTACTTACCTAGCTACTGGTTTTTTTATTCTTAAAATATTTTGGCAGAATTTTATTTTTGTATTAATTTATGTAATTAATATATAGTAGAGATCTACTGGAGACAAATATTTTTGTTGTAAGAAGAGGTTTTAATCTTAAGTTTTGAAATATTGTTTTATTCTGCAGTTGATTTACAGTGCCAGTGTTTAACTATGTCTCTGCCTTGAAAATAAGTCTAAGACTTCAATTTTTTTAAATGTGGGTTGTTTTGTTTATTTTTTTTGAGACAAGACAAAATTTACATTGCTTTGTACTAGGGAGATCCAATAAAGCTGTCTTATATTAAATAGCACTTGTGTTTAGAAAAAACTGTGGAACTATACAGCATTCTTCAGTAGCATTCCTTTGTTACGTAATCTGTAATTCCTGTATCCTCTAGGAAGTCAAACTGTCTGAGATATTGTCAGATTCTGATTCCTGGAAAAACCAGCATGATAGCATGGTTGAAGAAAAGACAGTATTAGAGATTCAAGCAGAAGATCTTAAGAAGTAAGTTACACTGCTGATCTATTTTCTGTGTTTCTGTAGTCACACTGTGTTGATATTTAGTAGTGTAGCACTCGGTGTTGACAAAGTAAACAAGTCTATGTATTCATATATTAAAATCTGAGCAGAATTTAGAAGTTAGAAACTAGAACAAGCTTAAGATTTTTAGCCTTCTCTCTGCTGTATTTCACAACTTAAAAAAGCCCCCTTCATTAGCCCCTGCAAGAAGTAACGCATTATTTCCCCCGCATACCTCCAATTAGCCTGAACTTGCTATTAGCTGCTATGTTGCTTCCTCAGAACCACTTACTTAGTAGCTGATTCAACTGCTTTGAGTGTTAACTCTTGTGCCTACTGCAGTGCAGAGGAAGGCTGTTAGGCTTCTGTTATCTACTTCACACTCATGATGGCAAAATTATTTCTGTTCCATTAACATCTCACCCCACTAGAAGACAGAGATGGATTCCTCTCAGATGCACATTTGAACATTTAATTCTTTCAAGGAAAAACAACACAAAATTATCAGATTATTCAGTTTATGCACTCAAATAGTAACATATGTGAAAGATGTGCCATCTTCTTTGGCAGACAGCAACAGGCATCCTTCTACATTTCTGTTGGTAGAAATATGGACTGTAATTCGAACAAGAAAAAGAAACTGGTAGGTGCCATTATGTATAGGTCTAAGGCAGAATGTTTTTTTCTTTTTACAAGGAACTTGATTCATGCTCAAATATGTAACAAATTAAATTGGCTTGACTCTTTTGGTTTTGGTTCTGAAACAAGAAAAGCTGACGTTTCTGAAAGTGTTTTCAGCATATTTTAACATTTAACAGGAGTGCTGGTACATAATGTCAGTCCATAAATCTGTGTAGCCCACTATTGGTCCAGTGTATATGAGAAGGCATCTAGGAAAGAATAAGAAAAGGGAAACGTCTATCAAAAAGCTGCCCAGGGAGTTTGTAGATGCCTTAACACTGGATGTGTTCAAGAACAGGTTGGATGGGGATTTGAGCAACCTCGTCTAGTCGAAGGTGTCCCTGCCCATGGCAGGGGGCTTGAAACTAGATGATCTTTAAGGTTCCCTGCAATTCAAACCATTCTATGATTCTATGATAGTTCCCTCAAGTACTTATTCTGCTTCCAGCTGTTTTTTGTCGTTTTTATTTTAGCTGAAAATATGTCTTTGCTTGAAATGTGCAATTCTAACAAGGCTTGTTCCACTAAGCAGTGTATGACTATGCAGCAAAACAAATTTTGTTGTTTAGCTTCATTAACATGAAAAGCAAAAGGTGAAGCACAGCACAAGTTGTCGTTTTAATAATGAGAAGTAGTATTCCTAAACTAGCTGTGGAATGTTCTTAGTAGGACATTATCTGATAGACCCTATAAATTTGATATCATTCTTTTTTGTACAGTATGTGTATGCATAGTTGTCTTTGAAACGTGCCTTGGTCTTCTAGGTAATGAATTTACTTATAATTGAGCTAGGAGCGCTTACTTGATGGACCACTCTTTTGAATAGTTTCTTATTTCAGTAGATACTTCTTTCATGGGTTGCTTAAATGCACGCTTCCTTTTTTAAAATAAATAAATAAATAAAAGAACAATGAAGGAATATGTGTTAAGGTACAATTCAGTTTGCGTAGTAAGAGTTTTGGAAGCATTGTCTGTTATACGGAAGTTCTTGTCTATCTAACAAGGCAGATCACAAGCCTTTTTGAAGACCTGAAAAGAAAGGAAGAATGGAAAAGAAACTCAGATGAGGAAATTCTTGGAAAGCTAAAATCTGTTAACTCTGAAAATTATAAGATTTACCTTGAAAATGAAAAATTAAAGGTAAGATCACTGTAAAACATTGTTGAATGGTCCTGCATTTCTGATACATTAATGAAATAATCACATTAGTACCCTTTGGGCCCTCTGTCTAGAGATCCAAAACCTGTAGAATAAATTTTACCATCCATTTTTTTACAGTAAGTGAAAATGAGTAATTGGAAATTTATCAGTGGAAATCTATGGCAAAGCTAGGAACAGTACTGTTTAATCATCTGTAGGCTTAACCAGGATGCTATTCATTTTACTGTCAGTAGCTACAAAATTGCTTAGCTAGAAATTGTTCTTTTAAGTTTGTAAAACTTTCTTTCAAATTAAAGAACTGTGTTTAGCTCAGTTATCAACTTCAATTTTAAAAGGATTTACAAGTTTTGGGTTGTACTTATCCTCTGAAGTAAATGTTCTCATGAGCTCACAAATGAACTGTGGGCTATCACTTTTGTTTGGCAGCATAAATAATTATGTCACTCTTTTTAATGCCTGCTGGCTAATTGGTAGTAGTATCATACTGCAAATTGTGTTGTTTTAGTAACACTCTTACAATTTTTATGTTTTCCATGCTTTAATCAAGGCTTCCCTTACTATGTTGGAAAACAGTACTGTTGGTGCTGAAAATGAGCTGCTAAATCTCCAAGAAAAGGCAAAGCTGCAGGAAAACCTTGTTGAACGGTATAAAAATCAGGTGACTTGCATATTTGAAATGTTCAAGTGTCCTTTTAAAATTTGTAAGCAGTTTTAAGGAAATGATAAAGGGTTTTTTTGTAATAAAAAAGATTTGTTGTCATGGTGATTGTAATTCTGTTGTAACATTGGGGATGATAGAAGAGACTGCCACTACACACCAAATCCAAGACCAGTCTCCACTCTGTTACTAGCACACATAATCCTGACTGAATTTTGTGAAGCCCAGTTGAATCTCATTGAAGCCGCCAGAGCTGTTAACATACTTGCTTAGAAAACATTTGCTTCCTAAAAATCAAGCTGGCAACTAAAGCTATATTTAAAAAGTAAAATTTGAGTGTGATGTGTTTAGTGGACATATCCAATGATACTTTACGTCTCCTCGGTCATTTCTTTATTTCCACATTCCTAAGAACAGTAAACGAACATTCTAGGTCTGTTATAAGTTATTTTATTTACATGGATAGCTCCATATTGAAAATACCAGCAAAATATACAAAATAAGACTTAAAATGAGCTTTTTATCTATTCCTTTGTTTGTATTTGGCTTTATTCACCGAGAGGAAATTTTAGAACATCGATGCAAAGTTCTGTGTATTTCTACTATCGTACAGACGCTATTTCACTATCTTGACTTAACTCTTTTTAAAAATCTTTGAGAAAAGACACGATAGAAAATCTAGGTACACCCAGTGTGCCTTGTCTGCAGAATGCATCAGCACAGTTAAAGGTTTTGGCAGCTTTAAGATAGCAGATGTAGTTCCAGGGCACAGGCAGCCTCAAGCAGTGAGTGAGCAGGACGAAATTCCCTAGCTTGTAGCTGTGGTGACTCCAGATGGGTACTGTCACTGACAAGAGTCATGCTGGCTGCTTCTGTACCATAACTGCAGCTCATTCTCCATTGCTGAAAACAAAACTCTGGTATTAGAGTGCTTTTTACCTGGTTACCCTTTTATATTTGCTGTGGTGAGTAGGAAAATGAAAATAAATAACTTCATATAATGACAATATTGAGATTCTACTTAGAAATCAAAGGTTTTCATTTATGCTTCATACTAATGATTCTATCTTTTCTATACTTAAAAGAAACACCTTACAAATGTATGTGAAAAATGTGTTTTTATAGGTACAAAAATTACAAACAGCAGTAGAAGAACTGAAATCTAGATATGAAACAGTCTTAAATGAAAACAAAAGAATAACAGAAACCAACTGTTTAGAAGTGGATAAGGTAAGTTTCACAGTAATGCATGTTTCCAAACAATTCTTAGGACATTGATCTTTCCTACGTTATTGTGATCCACATAGTAGCAGTCACAAGATACTGGCTCTTTTTTCTTTTTCCATGTATAAAATTGTTTTTAAATTCACTACTTGAGAGCTGATGGTTTTCTAGGATACTATGTAATTGAAACAGGTGAAAAATGATTCCTAGAGCAATAACCAAGGAGTTGGGCTGCTATTTTAGAATTCAAGAATACTTTTAGCACTTTTAGGATTGTGATTTTGTTATCTCTTGACAGAACAGCAGCGGATGTTGTTTCAGGAAGCAAACCTACTGTAAGAGAGATGAGTTTTAAGTAGTTTTTAAGAAGCTGAATACTGAAACACAGTTAGTACATTCTTAAGCATCAGAAAACAATACAAATTTGGTGGGAAAATTATTTTTGTCAGTTCCACAACATGTCAAAATATGTATTCTTCTAAGTGATAATGCTGATGCAGGGACAAGTTTTACATTACCTGTAATGAACTGTTCTAGAGAATGGAATTAGTCCTTACAGAAAAGTGTCTTAGCTGCTCATTTTATTTCATACTAGCTTTATTTTTCCATGATTGAGTTGTAGAATGGAGGAAGGTTTTTTTATCACAAATATCACAAATGATATTTGCACAACATTGTATATGACTTCAGATAGCATTAGACATACTGCAGTAGTTGTATGGTCAGAATTTTTCCTGTTAGCTGCTTAGTGTGTCTGTATGCCATATCCCAAAATATGTTGCAATAAAAATAAAATTAAAATTTGGGTATTGCATAATGAATTGATAATACTTGCATAATTTTGTAAATGGTCACTGTGTTACTCAGTCTTTAATGAAACATAGTCAGAGAAGGAAATTTCTCCAATGATGAACATGTAACCTTGTCAGTATTTTATAAAGTAGGTGATATTATGCAACCTGTGTAGAATTTAAGGTTTATTACTTACATGGAAAGCCATTAAGTATTACAACAATGAATTTATGGGTTTACACTTACATTTTTTTCCTGTGATGCTACAATGCAGGTGAGGCACAAAACAGAGGCTGAGTTAGAGGAGTTAGAACATGTTTGTGACTTGCTGAAAGCAGCTGAGGAAAAGCAGCAAGGGTATCAGGAAAAGCTTCTGTTCTGGGAAAGGATCGATGCACAGAAATGCAAACCCCTTGGGGAGCTGCAGGTTCAGGTGCTTAGAACATGCTGATTTTTTAAAGATAAATGAGAAAATTATGTGGAAGAAAGTATCTGGAAATTTTTTTTCCTGTGAGCATGTGTGATATTTGTGTGGTTTGCTTGGTTATTTTCTTCTTAAATTAAAAGCTTCTTCTGCAGAAATAGCATAATGCTAATAAAAGTATTTCTAACTATATTTATGTGCATTCAGTATATGACAAGACTCATTACTTTTAGATTCTGTATCTTTTAAGTGAGTATATTCTTGATCCTTTTGAATACTTATGTCCTGAAATGTGTTGCAGAATTCTTCCTCGGAAATAAATGTGCAAGTCTAAATTATTGTTTGTATTCATTGGAAGAATTTTATTTCACTTAGTTTTGGTTTTAATGACTAATTTATAAACCAGACAATATTTGCTCAGAGATGTAGTCATAAATTATGTTGTTGATGATGTATAGCATTTTAATGATTATATTGTGTTGCTTGATAAAATGTTTTTTAAAATACTCTTTAATATGATCACTTCTATTTTTAGCAGTATTTTAGCACTCCTGCTTGTATTTTCCTTTAAGCCTTAATATAAATATGCCTCAGCTTGTCTTTCTGTGATAGCAATTTCAGTGGCAAGTGTGGGGTTTTGTGTTGTTCCCTTTTTATTTTTTATGTGCTTTTAAGTTACAAGAAGATACTTTGCTAGCACAAATGACAAAGGTGTTTGAATCAGTAGAGTGGGAAAGGGCCTTGATTTTCTTCCTGTGTTAGGGGGAAAATTTCATCTGAAACACAGTGAGTCCCTTTGTCCCTATAGACTTTATATACTTATAAAAAAATAGCTTTTGATTTTGTTTTAAATATCTTGTCCAGATGATCTTCGTAGCATCAGATCTTGTTCTGGTTTTATATAATTTTAAATACTCCTTTATGAAATGCTTATAAGTTCATTAATCATTCTTTGCTTAGCAAAGTTAAGCAACAGTTAATTTTGAGGTGCATATAGAAAATGATATATGTAATTTTAATCTAACTACGTTTGCATGAATAAATGCAGAAAAATCTCTTAAATATACCAAAGTAATTGGGAATATAATCACTAGTCTGGTGGAACAGCAGTTAAATTTCAGCAATAAATATTGGTGGCATCCTTTAGAGATTCTGACCCTTGATCCTATGACTAGAATTTAGGAAAATTCCTTTTGAAGTAACTGGACCATGTGCAGAAACCTTTCTCTGGATTTAGATGGACATCAGTTTACTGCCCCTCTGCTGGAGGTTTCCACTACTACCAGCCTGCTACTTGGGCAGCCTGTAATCCACACAAAATCAACCAGAGTAGCTCAAATTACTGGATGGATCTGCTTGAGGTACTCCAGTGAACGATGGAGGTGTCCCCTTAAATAGTGGTGCCAGCAGGCTGGTGATGTAACTTCATTGCTAATCTGCTGTTTGTGGCTGGTAACAACAGCAATAATCTTACCACTGCAGTTATGAGATAGAAAAAACATGAAAGTTTGTCAGTGTGAATTCTGGGCGAGGGAAGACAGGTTGACTTCTTGCCTGCTACAACTTCTGCTACTGTTACGCCTCTTTTTATGAACTTGGTTGTCTTCTTTTGTTTATATTCACTACTTTCTGAAATTCTTTGCCAGTGCTGCTCTTCTTCTTTGATAACTGTTTATGTATGTGGTGTTATTTTTATGCTTCCTGTGGCTGTAGTGAGTGAATTTATTTTTGCTGGAATCTAAAGCTTGTCAGTTCACAAGGAGGTAGATGTGGCCAACTCCTAATACAGAAGGCTGCATGAGAAGTATATGGGTTTTGTTAGGATTTCACTGTTACATAGCAGATTTTCAGCCTTAAAGTGTTCACATGAAGCTTCTCTCCACTTCCTGGCTGTATTTTATTTGTTTTAAATACAAGATAATGTTTATTTAAATATAATATAGTGTTTACCTGAAACTACAGTGAAATTGCTGATTGGATTTTAATGGGCAAATTTACTTTCCTCTCTAATATCCTGTATATGGGTCTCTTCAACTAGAAACAAATTGTCACTTTCACAGGAGGAAGACAGTGTAACTTCTGTGGACTGTCATTCCTTAGAAGAAAACCATAACATTCAGAAGAAATATGAAGATCTTAAAAGGTAATTTTAAAAAAAATCTGAATGCAGGTGATTCCTACACATTTCTGCTGTGGTCAGTTTTAATGCATTAATCTGTTTTGCATAAAGGCAATTAGAAAAGATGGAATTTCAAAATGAAGAACTTGCTTATCAACTCAAAAAAGAAGATGAGAGTCTTCAATGCAGTAAATTGCAGCTTGAAGAAAAAATTGCAGAATGTAATGGATTAACCAGACAACTGGAATCTGCTTTGGAAGAAGGGAGAAAAATGGTATTAATGATTTAATACATCTCTTAATGTTGTTTTCCATTTTATGTTTAAAAATAGCATTAAAAACAAATGTGCTTGAGGAGAACAGATGAGACAAGATTATTTTAATTATTTTGATAATTATTTTGATTATTAGGAAGCAATATTAAAAAGTTACTGGGACTTGCTGCATGTTTAAATATGGGTTACACAATTCAGCTTCTTTGTGAAATTTGAATCCTATTGAAATTAATGACAAAGTTCAGTAGACCAAAATGTCACTAATTTTTTTTTGTAACAAATCAAAGTGCTTTAACCACCTAATATTAAATCCCACACATATGGCAAAAAGTTTCTGAACAAAAGCTTAATCTTGCCTTTTTCTTGTCTTTCTTTGGAATCCGTGGCCCACAAGAACATCAGTGTTGAAAGCCTCCTCATGTTAGAGGAAGGCTTTGCACCCTCTGTATTAGGAAGAGATCATCTATCATTAGTAGGAAGTATGCAAACAGTAATTCATATAGAGGAGGAAATGTAGGAATTTAATTTGCAGTGAATTACATTTGTTTAATCAGAAAATATGTATGAAGTTATGATTTCTGTCTCAGATTAATCATGTTGTAATCTGAGTTTTTGCAATACTGTATGAGGATATTAATTTGGTTTTGAAAAAATAACAAATTTGGCTTAACTTGAAAATGGTTGCAGAAATGTCTCCCTCCCAATGATACTACATTTTTTTCAAGTTGAAACATCTTTCAAATTTAGCCAGAGTATTTCCCAGGTTTGTTTGATTTCTGTGCATGGGAAATAACTAAAGTATTAGATGATAGTGTAGGAAATTAGAGCTATTAATGCTAAGGTATAAGAAAATAATTTTGTTTGGGCTTTAAGTGAAAGTAAATATACATTGTTTCATTATATTACAGGTAGCTGAAGAACTGGAAAAACTGTCATACAAAGAACAATCCCTTCAGGCAAAAATTATAGTTCTTGAAACTGAAGTGAGAGAGGGGCAAGAAGAGAAGAAACGACTCCTCTGCATATTTCACCATGTGAGTAAATAATACTGTATTCTGACTTGAAGGATTCAAGATGAAAATCAAGTCAACCTAAGTGCAAACTCTGTTCAAGATTTAAATAAGACCTCAGGCATATTGTTCTGAATTCAGTATGCTTTAATTAATTTTTATCGGTATCAAGTGTAACTTCATGTCTGCATTTAGCCTAGGACAAAACTGTTCTTAAAACAAAATCAGACATGGGCGTTTTATTCTGTTTCAAATATTTTTTTCATAAGAATTTCTTACTATGTGAAAATAGAATGGCAAATAAAGAACATTTTCTTGTTTTTTGTCCCAGAAAAACTTAGGAATGTTTTCAAATGGTTTCCATTTGAAGCTTACTGTGAAATATAAATGTGCAAGATTTATATGTCTGAGAGAAGAACTGTTCTAAATTAATTAATTGATTTTTTATTTGAGCTGTATTTACATATAACTGAGAATGCATTATGGAAAATGCTAGAATGATCTTATTCCTGTTGATGTAGTGAAACTGGAAACAAAATAGGACTGTGAAGGTAACTTGATTCAGTTATTTATTCTAACCTGATTATATTTTTCTGAGGCTGGCGTTAAATCTGATGACTATAATTCCTTTTTTTTTTTTTTTTTTAAATTGAATTTGTTAACCAACTAGCATCTGAAATCTGTAATAGACATAAAGGGAAATACCTGAATAGCTGTAGTATCTGTATAACAAAGGAACTATGGTGTGCATGAGGTATGGAACTAATGACCAGGTAATATTGCTATCAATCATCTTTTATATATAAGGAATTCTAGGCATCAAAAATCATGTTGCATCAGAGATCAATAACAGATGTTTCCTTGAAAAATCAACATGAGAGAGAATGTTAGGTCCACAATAGATTTAAGATGCTAGAAATCTTTCATGATAAAAATTCAGGTCAGTTTTTACATTCCCAGGCCTTTTTTTGATTATAAGCTTATTCAAACATGTTGAGTTTTGTCTTGACTGAACATAAATAAACCTTCAATATTTTAGGGCCTTTTGGGGAACATTCAGTTTTGTGTAGCTTCTGAAAACTTTTCTGGGCAAGTGCGGTTTATAAAAATTAGGTACTGGTTGTTTACTTTATTATTCTCATTGATTTGTATTTTATTTCTAACCTGCGTTGTATTTCTCTTCTTTCTCTAGAATGAAAAGCACCATCAAGTACATTTTAAAGAGTTGGAGAACAGCCTACAGAAGTCAGAGAATAAGAACCAGAGCATTCAGAATTACGTACAGTTTTTGAAAGCTTCATATATAACAATATTTGGCTGAATAATTTAATTTATTTACCAATAAAAAAAAAACTTTTCAAGGTTTGGCTCTATCTCTGTTGGGGGAAAGGCTTTTGAGACCTTATAGTATTTTGCAGGATGGGGTACCACAATGTTAGTTCTTCCCTAGGAAAACTTGGTGTGGGCAGGGAAAAAAGCAGGTCAGTCATTACTGTGTATGCTACTGGCTGGTCACGTATGGAAAATTCACCTGGTATTACTGATACAAAGAACTGTGTTATTCTGGAACAGAGGTGAAAAGGCAGACTGCATGACAGCAGTGATAGTTGTGTAAGTGTGGGGTATGCACACAAAGCTGTAAATTGGTCTGTGAATGTACCATGTGTTAGGTCCTGTGCTGTCAAACTTATATGTGTCCTTTTAGTCCATGGCAAATGCAGATGATCACAGATGACCTTTCAGTTCACATGGGGGAAGAGAACACCCATGGACAGTATGGTAATTTGCATATTTTAATTATTAATGATTATATACTATTTTTCAATCATACTTCTGTTACTTTAGAAGTCTAGTTGCCCAAGACAATGATATCTGACCTATTAAGATAGGCAAAAATCCAGAAAGCATTAGGTTCCCTTCCTTTCTTTTCCCTGTAGCTTAGCACCAGTATAGCCCACACTACGGCGCTGCAAGAAATAGTTGCTGCCACAAGGCTGTCCCCTCCTGCTTTTTTTCCCTACATCTCTTTATGATCAGGAGTATACTATAGTAATTCACAAATAGTAGCAGGAAAGTATTTTAGATGTAAATATAGTTTAAGCTTTGAATGTTTTGATACACCCTTTCACAGTGACACAGCTCCCAGGTTTTTAAGCATTTGTCTGTGTTTGCTGTTCAATGGAGTAAGACTGACTTACACCTCAGGTTCTAATATTCTCTAACCCACTGTATTTAGAAGATTTCTTAGTAAGAAGACATTCTTACTATAGGCTTACTAAGGTACATAGTTGAATGTTATGTATTGTAGGATTTGGGGTGGTTGATAAGATTTTGTGGTAATTATTCACAAAAGCCGACTCATGATGATCCAAGGTACATCAGAGTCCCTGGCTGAATTTCTACTAGTGCTCTTTTTGTAAAGCAAATCAAAGCCACCTATGATGTTACCAATCTTCCCCAATATCTGTATATTGCTTTATTTGCTACCCATGTTAAATAATTAGTTCTTTTTCTATAGGGTTTTTCAGGAATGGCTTCAGTGTGATGGCTATGGCCCTGCTTTTGGGCCAGCATGTTCTGTCATTTACAGTGGGGTGCAGAAGGACTCTGCCAGCAGGATATGCACAATTTAAAAGTCTACAGCAGTTATTTATTGGCTAGCACATACAGAAGATGGTGAGGATGTAATGAGTTATTGGACTATGTACAAATATGTTTATGAGGGGCGCAGAGCTATGTGATCACCAGGCAGGCGTCAGTCAGGTGGGAGGAGTCTATCTCTGGGGAACAGATCCCACTGTTGCTTGTTTTCCCTCTTCCACCAGCTGTGTCCTCACTGGTGACTTTCAAAATTGCTTTTTAAAATGCAATTTAGAGATCACACTGCATTTAGATCTGCACAGTGCTCTGTATACTGCTGCATGTGTTTCTTAATGGGATAGAATTTCAGAGTTATGAAAACTGAAGTGCTTTGAGGTTGGTGGATTAACTTTTTAGCCAGTGCATTTCCATGTTCAATCATAATTTTTGAGCTTTAATTAGTTGAAACTGTAAGCATGTAGAGTCCTGAAACTGGCAGGCCTTAAAGAGTTGACCTGAATGCCTTCCTCCTGCAATTCTCTTTATCTGTGATGAAATGGACAGTAACACATCGGTGCCTCCTTTCTTACTGGTTTTGAGAGGTTACTTGGGGCTTTACACCCTTTAATTCTGTCTGCCAAGTAGTTCTTTATTAGTGGCTTAATGCTGATCAAAGAACTACTTGTCTCCTGTCTCTAGCGCAAACACTGCTATAAATCCTATTGTAACATGGAGTCTTTGCCGTGAGGGCACAAAAACTCAGTAATTCCTCTCTGGATGCCTGCCTCCTTAAAGAATATCTTTATTGAAGACTTATAGCAATCATTGGGTTCCATATGGATGATTCCTCAGTCAAGTGTGGTAGGTTACTAGCACAACATTTCTTTTGAATGGTCTCTTTATCTATTTAATGTTGAATTAAATCAACATTTGGATTTTTGTGAAAAGATTAAGGAGGAACCATTGTCATGCAGGTTAAAAAGTCTTCTGCTAAAAACGTGCTCGGCATCTTGCCTCAGAAAAGAGTCAAATCAGACTCTTTGTGACAAAATCACTTTGTCAGTGATTTTCCTACAGGAAAAATGACCTTGCTTGTTTCACTGGCAAGCTGTTTAGCAACATAACATCTGTGTACAGCCCTTACTGCACTGAGAGGCCGAGAGCTGGCCAGCACAAACAGGGATCAAAGCAGGGCCCAAGAGGAAAGGGTTGTGCGGGGTGTGAAGTAGATGCAATGATTTCATACACATTTCTTTTTGCTTTTTTCCGTGAAAACTTCCTGTGGATGTTTTACGGCTGACATAGCTCAAGCATGTTCCTTAAGGCCACAGAAGTGAGAGAGCACTGTGCTGGTGTCTACCACTGGGGAATTCAAGCAGTCAAAATGTGAACTTACTGCAGTCACAGAGATCATCTTGTTATGCATTTGGGTTCAGAGTATTTTTTTGTGTACTTAGAGCTGAATGGCAATGTCATAGCAGCTGTCAGTAGTAAAGCTTTCAAACTATTTGAAGGTGGAGTGTGCTTTATATTGCCATCCACATCTATCTGTACCCTTCACTCAGGATTGTTGATGTAGTACTGTTGGCTTGCAACCTTTGGATATGGCTTTTACAGCTACCAATGGTCCAAAGGAATATCATCCGAGTGATACGTAAATCATTCGCGCTCAGAGAAATGCTGGCTTTAATGAGAACAAAAATATTGTTTCCAAGGAGTAACTAACTTATAAACAGGCCTTTTTTGTTTGATTGTTTGACAGACAGGATCGAATACCTGACTAAGACATCATAATACTGTTATGATGGATTAATCTACTTAATTTAAAAGCAATAGGGAAAAGGATGGTTTTATGTGTAGAGACCGCTGCAGTCTTGCCTCCCTCTTATGTCAGAATAAACATAGTATTTTGTTGGCTGTAAAGTTACCTTCCAATTTATTGGCAACATAAATATTTCATATGCCACTCTTCCTTTGGGTGGTACTATTGAAAACTGAAACCAGGTCTTACTGGTTAAGCCTTGCATGCTTTTCATCCAATTCAGTCTTTCAGAAAAAACTTTGACAACATCTAATTTCTAGAGCAGCTGTTGTACATCCAGCAACCATCTCCAGATCTCCCATCAGTGTCTTAGGCATGACGAGCCCTTCTTCATTATCACGGTGACCACATTCCTATTCTTAGCAAAGATTCTCCTTTGCAGTGTAGCAGCCTACTCTGCTGTGGCAGCAGTCCACTTACTAATTTACAACTCCACCCACTAAATGCCACTGAATTATAAACTACTGAAGTGAGCCATGTATTTTTAACAGCCTCAATTTTACCAGCATGCCTGTTTATAAAAGTCAAAGACATTTTTGAAGTGCAAAAATGCTAAGTTGGCATTTCAGATTATTCTCAGGGCATTGGCTGGCTGTTCAGTAAGGTTGCCTCTCTCCACTTGAGAAAAAATCAGTACACTAATATGCTGCAAAATGCAAACTGTTTTATACCAACACTTCATTCTTTCTCTAGAGGAAAAATCTTAAAAAATCTGAAGAAAGAGCCTAGCCTAGGAATTTAAAGTCTTCGTGTAAATACTGTGCCAATGTGCAGGCAAACTTTCCTGATTCTGTTCTAGGCTTTATTTCCAATTTGTTTCTTGAATTTCTTACCATGCAGTAGATTATTAGGTCCTGTGCTTTGTGAACCACATAAAACATGGTAATGGCATCAATTTTTGCATGCCACTGGTTTAGGGGTTTGTTGTTGTCTGTGTTTGTCTTAAATTGGGTTATGTTGTAACAGAGACAACATTTTAACTTAAGTGGAATTTGCTGTAGTGAATTTCAACCACAGTCTGGTAGTCATTTATATGTACTTAGCTTGAAACATGCAAATAACCCCTTTGAGATAGTTTGATTCAGAATCCATCTTCTTCTCTTGCAGATTACTATATTTTATAATGATTTGATAATCAAGACAATTATATTATGTAAAACATAAAATCAACCTCGTGTCTGCAGTACCCTGTGAAAACTGTGGAGTATACTGAGTCATAAGTAGAGCTGGTTTATTTTTTAAAAGGTTAAGTAGCCTCTTCCTCTTCTACCTTTGGTGCTCATTGTCTTCCCACAATGTAAATTACTTTAATTTTGAAAAACAGTGAAATGACAGACAAATAGTGTCATCATAAAATTTCAGAACCAGCCAAGGTATGATAAAGGATCAGATCTTTGTGTTTGATATTCCTGAAAATCATTTAACTCCTGATGAAGATTGCTTGGACGTCTGTTTGAGAATTGTTACAGGCAAAATCCACAAATTGGTCTAGGATTGATAAATGTTCTTTTCTTTAGTAACTTCTGGCCTCCATATTTTTTTAATGAAAACCCAGTGCTTCAGTATGGTTTTGGAAAGCAAGCATGGTGGCTCTGGAAGAGGTTCAGCAGGAGCAGAAGATCCTAGAATTAGCATCTCTGTAGGTGGCACCCTGTTGTTGACAGGAACAATCAAGAGACAGGAGAGTGCCTTTAAATAATACAATATTACATGCTTGCATTTCTCTGCAGTTAAGTGTAAACTGAATTATCTGTTTTATCTTGAAAGAATTTTAACTCTAAATGTATTCTGAAAAATCCAGTTTCTTTCAATTTCAAATAAATATCCTAAGTTTTGTTTTAGTAGGGTTATGGTTTAGGAGAGTTTTCACATGGGTAGTTCTGGAGAGACATAATCTTATAGTGTCTCTGTAGAGAAAA